CCAGACTATGCCACCTTTACCAGGTGTTTCTTCTGCTGGACTTAACTTGAAATTAAGTTCCTGACCCTATTTGAACTGTGCTATTTAAAAAGAAAAACAAAACAAAAAGCCCTGCATATCTCATCACACATTTAAAGCTATGATCTAAAATTTGTGTCTCAGAATTTAAATACTCTCAAAGACAGTCATTTCCAGTTTGTTATACATTTGTTTTAAATATATTTTTGTCAAAATCTTGACACCACAGATTTAGCTCATTCATATTCACAGGAACTGTCCATTATATAATCTAGTTGCCAAAGTCCTTCCTCACTACACCCATCAAGCTAATCAGACTTAACTCCCTGTCAGAAAAGAAATCAGTCTTCATTTTGCAATTCAAATAAACATAATAAGATACCATCCTCTCAACCCTGACATCCAGCGCACTGCTGAATTTTAATTCCAAGAGACAGAGATGGATGAGTAAGTGGGAGGGTGCAAAAGCCTTTCCATGAGTCAGTGAATGGTTCAGACCTCCCCTCAGGTGGGAGCCTTTCCCAAATTGTCCCTTGACTTAGAGGCTGAGTGCTTCTCTACCTCAGGGTGAAACTCTTACCAAAGGTTTGAGGTAGATGAGAAATGGATCTTTCATGTTTAGAGTGAGAAAAGAATAGCTGTGAAAAGGAAGTGGGAAAGTTCTAGCAAATCTCAGGCCTGTAGCACTTTCTCAGCTAATCATGTTTTAGGAAGAAGTACATATGAAACATAAAAATCTATAAAGTAAGGCTCCATAAATAGTCTTTTAATACCCCCAGCAAGGTTACAGTTTCTTCTAGGACCTTACCATAGTCCTAAGCCCTCAGTATCTTCATTGGTAAGATATAATAACTACCTCCACATGTGGTTATGAAAAATAAGTAAAATGACAAAAAGAAATCATGTAATAAGTTCTTAGGGCATAAAAAGTGCCCACTGCATGTTTAAGGAGATGAAATACTGTGAAAGAGGTCATAGAACCAAGAGAGCATTGCTGATGTCAGATCGATCTTGGCTGAAAGCAGAGAATGTCAGAAATGGGTGTTCTATGACTATGCAAAAGCATTTAACTATGGTCAATTTTTCAATCATTTGTTACACATCTAAGAGCTAGACAATGAAGAAGGATGACAGAAGAAGAATCAATGCCTTTGAGTTGTAGTGTTGGAGAAAAGTACTGAATATCATGTGATCTGCCAAAAAAACAAACAGATATGTCTTGGAAAAAGTGTAGCCAGAGTACTCCTTGGAGGCAAAGATGGCAAACCGTAATCTCTCAAACTGTAGACATGTTGCTAGGATAGGCTATTCCTTGGAAAGGGACAGGGAAGACCTGAGAGAGGAGGATCTCCAGTGAGAGGTGACTGCAGCAGTGAGCTCAAGTGTTTCAAAGATTTTTGAGGATGGCACAGGATAGGACAGAGTTCAAGTTTATTATTCCATCTCAAGAACAGATGTCCAACCACAAACGAGTGGATTGAGAAATTAAGGTACATTCATGCAATAGAATACTACGCAGCACACAGGAGCAAAGATTTTGTAAATTATTACCTAACTTGGGAGGGACTGGAGAGCATTATGCTGAGTAAACTAACTCAGTCCCACAAGGACAAATATTATATAAAATCATTATTGTAGAATGAGGGTGGAAGCAGAGGGATTAGGATGTGTGTCGGGGGTGATTAATCATGGAGTTGGTATAGTGTGATGGGTAGGGGAGTGAGGGAAATTGGAAGAATCTGTTCTGGAAAACAGTGTATTCAAATGTTGTAAATAAACTAGTATAATAAAAAATTTTGTATGGATAAGTTTCACACGGAAAATGCTATTTTAGTAAATATTTATAAAAGGAAATAAAAGAATATTTTCACACAACATGTCTGACCTCAGACATAGTAGAGGACAAAAAAAAGAGGTGGAAATAGAATTTTAATTTATAATACTGTAATGAAAATATAATTGTTTTGCTATTGTAAAAAAAAAGATGGGAATTCAGAACACATAATTATGCTCATGTGAAACCTGTACATAGATCAAGAAGGATTCATTTGAACAGAATAAGGAAACACTGCATGGCCAGAATTCAGATCTATTATTCAAAAGGTCACAATGAGTCATACTCAAACCAACAGCAACAACACCACCACTATAGTATCTGTATACTGAGCAAATAATTCAGGAAGCTGGACTGTATGAAGAAGAATGTGGCATCACATTTGGAGGAAGACTCAACAATTGGTAGCATGCAGACTGCCTGCCCTTGCTTGCAGAAAGTCAAGGCTTGAAGCACTTACAGCAGCAGATAAAAACTATGAAGACTATGGTCTTCAGTATGGATTATGCCTCAACATCAAGAAAGCAAAATCCCTCACAACTGAACTAATAGGCAGCATCATTACAGATGGAATAAAGTTTAAAGTTGTTGACCATGTAATTTTATTTAGAGCCATAGGTAACACCAAAGGAAACAGCAGTCAGGACATCCAAAAATGTGTTATATTGGACAAATCTGCTGTGAAAAATCACTTAAAAGGCCTAAAGAACAAGGTTATTCACTTAAGACTAAGTCATGCCTGACCCAACTCGTGGTATTCCTAGTTACTTTGTACACATATGAAAGTTGGACAATGAGTAAGGATGACAGAAGAATCCCTGTCTTCGAATTTTGGTGTGTGCGAAGAGGAGAATAGCCCATGGACTGGCAAAAGGACAAACAAGTCTGTCTTGGAGGAAGTACAACCAGGGTGCTCCTAAAAGGCAAGGATGGTGGAACTTTATCTCACATACTTTCAACATGTTTTTAGAGGAAACAAGTCCTTAGGAAAAGGCATCATGCTTGGAAAAGTAAAGGATCAGCACAAGAGTGGAAGATCTTCAACATGAAGGGTTGGCACTGTGACTGCAATAATGTGTCTGAGGGTGGCAGAGATTGAGAGGATGCCTCGGGACAGGGCAGGGAGTTGACCTGTTGTGGGATTATTAGAGTTGTAATGGACTCCACAGCACCTAACGACAAAAGGTCATTGACCTATCAGTGTGTTATACTGTAGTGACGTGAGTATTGCTGTGGTGTGAGAAGTTATGCCACTGTATTTAAAACACTTGCAAAACTACATGTAATAGGCAGTGCCAGTGAAGCCTTTATGCAAAAACAGAGTAAAGAGAAAAGCCTGGTAACCTACTTAGGAAAAATCAGCCCATGAAAACCTTACAATAAAAGGAATAGACAATAAGGGATTGATACGGACATTGTCATTAATTAATTGAATTGAGTAATTATAATATAAATTATCAAATGAAATCAATATTGTTTTTAGACTCTCACTCAAATCATGAAAGACCTTACAGATTATAACAGAACATTATTTGATGTAGCGTCGGCAGATGCAGACATGCCAACAATCATGAGGATAAAGCAGAACTGGATAGTGTTTCATTTTGTTTTAAGTTTATCTCAACATTGACTCAACAGCAACTAACTTACAACAGTTGATGTTTGGTATTATAACCTAGTGGCGAGAAGTTGTATTGCAATCCCAGAGGCACGCAGTTCAAGGCCACCAGTTGCTCCTCAGGAGAAGAATGAGCAGTCTCCTCCCCGGCAGATAACTGCCTGGGGTCAGCTATGAGTCATTTCCAACTCTGCAGTATACAACAACAACTGATAGCCTAACGGGTAAGGAGTTATACTGCCAACTCAAAAGCAGGCAGTTTGAATCCACCAGCTGCTCTGCTGCAGAAAGATGAGTCATCTCATCCTGTGCTGCAATTTACAGCCTGTGAAAACCTCCCTGGAGGGGAACGAATCAGTTCTGAATGGGAAAGACATGGCAGCATCAATAATGTCATTTTTATTGAGCCTTGTAATTCTCAAGCCCTGATAGCCAAATGGTAAGGCGCTGCACTACCCACCTGAAGGCTCACAGTTCAAATCCACCAGCTGCTCTGTGGGAGGAAGATGTGCATTCTCCCATGTGACTCACAGCCTCTGAAAACCTTGTATGTGCTCTGCTACGAGCCGTCTGACTCGATGATACATAACAACAACCCCTCACACCTGTGAGCCCCAGCTTGCATGTCCAGACTCTAGCCACACCCCTGCACCCAGCTGTCTCTTGGCTGTTCCTTCATCCTGGTTCTCATGTCCAGTAGTGCCACTGTTGTAGAACAGGACTGACATCAGGGTTGAGGTGAGGCTGAGAAAGATGGGATAAATTATGTATACTGCATTGAAACTGATGAGGGAGAGAACAGTTTAAAAGCAATATGTGGAAATCCAAAATCTCTGTAAATGTTCATTAAAATTTTTTAAAAAGCAGTATATGTTTGGACATTATGGTTACAACAAGAGTCCAGAATGAAGGTTGCATAGTGGAGTGTACTGGGGGGTGGGGAGGGATTGTATACCAATGAAGAAATTTTTCTTTTACTTTTCAAAGAGAAGAGCAAACCAGGGGATAGGGGTGGGCAGGGAAAAAAATGCATCAATGAATGAATGGAAATCCAAAATCTCTGTAAACAGTCATTAAAATTAATAAAATAAATATTTTTTTAAAAAAAAATTCCTATTCCCAGGAAGACAGACTAGACTATGATTTCCTCACACTCCCTGGACCTGAAGAGAGCCATGTGAGCAGGTGATTCAGGGTTCTGGTTTTTTGGAGTATGGAGAAAGGGGTGGGGCAGTTCTAGTGGACACTTCCTCTTGGCCCAGCCGATTGCCTCTTCAGAAGAGATGGGGAGCCATGTGGCGCCCAGCCCCGAGCAATGGCTCCTCCTGTGTATGTCTGTTCAGTTGAGATAATATGTATGACTGTGCTTTCAGTGTAAGATTTTAGTACTGTTGACCATGCTTCCAAATGTGGTTAAAGCCTACCCTTGTGAACAAAATACCATAAATCATAAAAATAGCAGGCTACTCAGTAAAATGTCTTTCTTCAAATGTTCTCAAAGCTAATTGTAAACCCTTGTTTGTGTTTTAGGCACTGGCTTTCAGGCTTCAGGATACAACTTCAACACCTATGACTGGAGGAGTCCAAAACAGAGGGGCAGTTTGTCCCCAGTCACCAAGCCAAGAAGCCAGACTTACCCAGATGTGGGGCTGAGTAATGAAGACTGGGACCGGCCTGCTGCCAGTGGGTAAGGTTCTCATGTGCTGCTCCGTGTCAGGGACGGCTGTGTGTGTGTGTGTGTGTGTGTGTGTGTGTGTGTGTGGTCATTCAGGCCCGATCTGAACATCTCAATGTCTAGAGGCCTGGGTTGTTGGTGCGGATTCCTGCAAGCTGCCATCTTTGCCCTTGCCCATTCCTGTGAGCAGGACTCTAATACTTAATGTCTGTCTGTTGCTGAGGTACAATCCCACACATTGCAAGAGTGAGGCCCACGTCAAGAAAATAGTGCAGTTAGAATGCTCCTTAAAAGCAAGGATGATGGTTCCTTGTCTCATATTCTTAGGGAATGCTGACAGGAGGGTTCAGTCCCCAGAGACAGACCTCATGTTTGGTAGAGAGGCAGTGAAATAAAGGAAGAACCTCAAAGAATTGGTTGGACGGATGGGCAGATGGATGGTTGGTTGGATGGATGGATGGATGGGTGGATGGCTAGCTGGCTGGCTGCAATGGCTGCAACAGTAAGTTTAAGCATAGAAGAGGTCTCAAAGGGGTGCAGGCTAAGGCAGCCTTTCCATCTGTAGTACATGGGGTCACCATGAATGGGCACCAATTGGATGGCACCTAATGTCAATGACATTGTAGTGGAACCTGGTAGAATAGACTTGTATAAACCCTGTGTCCCCACCTGTGACAATTAGCCCCCTTTCCTGTTTTTTAAAACAGTTTCTCATTAGATTACACTTTTTAAGAAAAATTAAGACACTTTGAGGGCCTCCTATTTTTAACTAAGAAGTATATTTTAACATGTTTGTTTCTTACCAAAATACTTTAAAAACATTCATAAATAGTGATAGCGCTTAAATGATTTATAGTGAGGCTGATAAATAAATGAAAGCAGCACATTTTTTTCTCTAGCTTAGAGAAAATTTCGAGTTAGATTGATCCATCCCTTTAGAACAGCAGTACAGTAGTTTCATACACAGGGCCATATTAACATAGTTCATTCAGCAGGAGCCACAAATATTCTTAGCTCATTTATTTAGTTAGGTCATGGTCATTAATTTTTCCATAACATTTTTTGTTTCCAAAAGCAACCTCATGGAGCTCTGCTGGTATGATGTTTAAGCAACTCAGCTGCTAACTGAAAGTTCAGTGGTTTGAATTTACCTAGTGACTCCTTAACTCTTAGGTGAGAAGAAGAGAAGGCTTGACTCTTCACTCCCCTACACACTTAAAAATAAAAGTGTTGAGCCAAATCTGTTGCAGGCAAGTAGATTCTGACTCTTTGTGACCCTGTGGGACAGAGTATTGTCCTTAGAGTTTCCAAGAGTGAAATCTTTATACAAGCAGGATGCTGTTTTTCTCCCAGAAAGCCACTAGTTATTGTTGTTGTTGTTGTTGTTGTTGCTAGGTGCCATTGGGTTGGTTGCCTGTGACTCATCGCAACCCTATGAAGAGCAGGTCTGAATCTTGCCCTGTTCTGTGCTATCCTTATGATCTCTGCCGTGCTCAAACCCATTGTTACAGTTCTCATGTTAGTCTGTCTGTTGAGGGTCTTCTTTCCTTTAACACTTCACTTTTCCCAGAATAGTCTTTTTCCAAAAGCTGACTCCTCTTGACAACACATCCAAAGTATGTGTGACAAAGTTTCATCATCCTTGTTTCTAAGAGATCTGCTAAGTGGGTTCAAACTGTTGACCTTTGAGTTATAAGCAGAGAATGAGCTCAGTACAGTAAGGGCTTCTTCCCTGGATATTGTACCCCAGTAACCTTATGGAGAAGTTCTATTCTATCATATTAAATCTGTATGAATTGAAAATAGACCCAACGGCACCTAGTAAGAACAGCTACCACAAAAGAAGCTTTCCATTGGCCTCAGCTTCAGGGTCACAGTTGGGAGAAAGCCAGATCCAAAATGAATTTCTGTCTTTTGTGGGTGAGGTGAGAGCGAGAAATCCTGGACACAGGGAATAGAAATGGTGTTTTGGGATGTTTTTAACCCAGCCTGTGCTTCTTGACTCCAGTTTTGCAGGAGTTCCTGACAGTGCTGAGGTGGAGCAAGAGGAAAATTTCTGGTCTCAGGCGCTGGAAGATTTAGAAACCTGTGGACAGTCAGGAATTCTGAGAGAACTTGAGGTACCTCAGTCCTGCTACTTACTGTTAACTGTTTCTACATTCATTTTCTTGTTTTGTTTTGTTTTTTTGGTCCTTTTTAGTTTGCATTTATCACACCAATCATTTAAAAGCTTTAACCCCTTTCCACAGGAGAAAGCTGACAGGCGTCTGTCTTTGAGAAACATGAATCTCTTGGTACCTACCCTTTATGTTTCTATTTTTTGCTTGTGAAGCTGCCTTCCCTCTCCCATGCCCTCTGGAAAGCAATTTGATTTTATATAATGCAGTTGAAAGTATTTCTTCCTACCCCACCCCCAAGCTTACTGACTTGTGGCTTCCGCCATCGCTCCCTGCTAACCCTGACTGTACCTGACTGTTCCCACCAAACCGCTAAGGAGTGAGCTAAGTCTCTCAGCAGTGGTGCATCTCATTCTCTTAGTTGCTTTAGAAAGGTTTCTTTGGCATGTTTTCATTTGTCCCTGGTATAAAAATTACTTTGATCATTAAGAGGAACATAAGAGGAAATGTTCTTTTGTTTTGCCCTTAAAATAGATGCCAGTGTAGCTGGTGGGAAAAGGCTGGACTGTTTTATAAGCAGCTAAAATATTGCAGAATACTTCCTAGTTAATTGCAAATCCTGATTCCACGTTATAATTTAGTGTGAATGTGTGAATTGGAGGAGGAATGAGCCAGAGTATAATAGCTGAACTCCTGTTGAGTTCTTTAATCAAAGCCATGAATTTGCTGGTGGAATTCACACTTTGGTCTGGGAAGTCCTGGACTGTTTCCTTTTATGTTCTTTTAAATTTTCTGAGCTGTAAAAGAAAAAAATAATAATAATAAAATAAAGTGGCAAAAATATCATTTTTACTTTGATGTCTTATGGGGTCCCCAAGTCACCATAAGGAATGTGAATGGCATAACGGAGTGAAACTCTTGCAATTCTAAAATGATTACTCATCTTTATATTGTTTTGCTTCTCAATTGCATGTGTGGATATTTTATGTGATTCTAATGTTTGTGAACCTGCAAAGAGAATTCTAAAGAATACTAGTTTGAATTTGTAAACATCAGTCTTACCTGGCATGAATTTCAGCTTCAGAGCACAGTTAAAGGACATGGAGATGGGTGAATCCTACAAAACAAATCAAGATATTAGTGACTGATTCCTTTCTATTAAGTTTGGGATAAAGAATAGAATGTTTACGTATCAGACGGTTTATTTAAGCTTTTACCACTTCTTGTTTGCAAAGGGGAAAGGAGTCCAAACTGAAAAATAAGCAGAGTAATTGTAAGAAAAGAAAAACAAAAAGTTTTAAATAAACCACTTCCTTTGAAAGTGTGTTTCAGGTCCTTTCTGATATTTCTCTCTTTTGAAACTAGTCTTCTAGTAACTTCCTTACATAATGTAAAAAGATGGCGTGCAGAGTAATTAAATGAGGTAGTGTTTTCACCCAGAAATTTAATTGTTTCGTGAAAACTTCATCCATCTGCATAGAAATTAAGTAGCAAAACCCTGTAAGTTTTCCCTAAATTAGCTTGAAGCAGATGTGGCCTTTGAAATTAGAAAAGAACTGATTTGAGTTTCTAAATCAAAGAGAAAGTCCTCAGTTAGAAAAAATGTCCAGAGAATTCATCAACTCTAAAGATGACACAACCCTGCTTGCTGAAACTGAGGAGGATCTGAAGCACAATCAACACTCTTTGCACCAGCAGCCAGGAAATTAAAGATGTATTGTGATGGGAAAGTCTGCTGTTAGGGACCTCTCTAAAGTACTGAAGAGCAACAGTGTCAGTCTGGAGACTAAGGTGTGCCTGATACAGGCCATGGTATTTGCAATTACTTGCTATATATTAGAAAGCTGGACAGTGACTAGGGCTGATAGAAGGAGAATTGATGCCTTTGAGCTATGGTGTTGGAGAAGAGTATTGAATATACCATGGACTACTAAGTGTCCTGGAAAAGGTTAAACCAGGCTGCTCCTCGGAGGCAAGGATTCTGAAGCTTTTTCTGACATACTTTGGACATGTTATAAGGAGGGGATCAGTCCTTGGAGAGGGACGTCATGCTTGGGAGGGCGGAGGGACAGCACAGGAGAGGAAGACCCTCTTTGAGATGGATTGATACAGTGACTGGGGAAATGGGATGTGTGTGTCAGAGACAATACGATTGGCACAGTACAGAGCAGGGTTTAGGGCTGCAGGTTGCAGGTGACTCAATGCCACATAACAACAACACCACCATTAAAAATTTTAAAATGTAGTAGTAAATGCAAAAACTTAGCTAAGTTTGAAAATTATTAGAATCTACAAGGAAATCAGTTCGTGTCATCGTGTTCTATATTGGTAGCAATCATTTAAATTCAATTTTAGTCCTGAAAGTACATAATTTAACAAAAGAGAAAAATTTTAATTATAAGAGTAGGTGAGCTATTTAACCTTTCTTAGCACTATTTCTTCTAAAATATTATGGGTATAATGAGCTAATGCTTATTATGGCATTTAACACAGTATATGACATTTAGTAAATGTTCAATAAAAAGGAATCCTTATTATTTTTGCCATTTCATGATTAATGAGCACTGATTGGATTCTTTTTCTGTTACTATATTATAGAAGTAAGTTAATATCAGTTAGAGCACTCTAAGTTGCCTTCAAAAGAACATGTATTGGCCTAGTGACACCTTGGTCAAATATATCTTCCTTTGCAAAGTATTTCCTCTGATAAATCTCTTTTTGCTTGCATAGAAAAGAATCCCCATATGTTTATGAGCTGTGCTAAATGAAAATAGGCTATGTGTCCAATGCCACAGTAAATACTGTTGTTGTTGTGTACCATCAAGGGAGAACCGACCCATAGCTGACCCTGCGGCAGATTTTCAGAGGCGGTTAATCGCAAAGGAGGAGATTGTCCATCCTTCTCCTGCAGAGCAGCTGATGGATTTGGTCTGTATGCCTTTGGGATTGCAGTGCAGCTTCTTGCCACTAGGCCACCAGTGCTCCCAAAATATGTTGTTGTTGTTGTTGTTGTTGTTATGTGCCGTCGAGTCGCCTGCGACTCATAGCGACCCTATGTACAACAGCCCTAAACTCCGCTCTGTCCTGTGCC